AGGTCTGCCACAATAGCTCTCTCTCCCGCGCCAGAGCAAGCCCTGGGTAGACCCCGAGCCCCGCAGGGCAGAAAGCAATCTGGTCCTTGTCCTTCCAGGAAAACCCGAGAGCGCCCCTGTTTCCTCTGAAGATGATTGTGAATCTCAGTCCCTGTTCCCTACTGCAGAGATCAGGAATCCAGTTCTTTTCTCAGAGCACAAATCAGGACGCCTGGCTCCTTATCCCCCAGCAGAGATCGGACACCTTGATACTTCGGGAAAGAGATCTGGTAACACCATTGGTAGCAGAGGAATAAGAAATCTACCAATCCATCAATAAATATTTATTAAGCAGCCGCTATGTGCAAAGCCCCGTGTTAAATGCTGGGAATACAAAGGTCCAAATCAAAGACTGACTTCTAGGATCGTGCCTTCTCTTGGGGGAGACAGTATGGATATATCTAAGTATATACTAGATACAGACAAAATAAATGCGAACTAATTTCTGTTTGCCCAGGCATAGGGAGGGCTTTGAGCTACAAGTCCCTCCTAGACATTTCTGGTGCCAAAGGGTTCAGTGTGGTCCGGGAGAGGGCGCCTTACACCTTAACTTAGCCCTGGGAATGCAGGAGCTAGCCCCCTAAAAGGGAGGCAGGATCAACTCTAGTAATCTGGGACTCAGCTGTCTGTAGGATATTCCCTCCAGGAAACTACCTTCCCTAATCAACAAATATTTATTCCCTATATTCAGTCTCCCTAACCAGGAAACATTTCCTTTTCCTTCAGCAGGTTCCAGGTGCCCCAGCTTTGTCTTAATGTAGGCCAGGAGGCCATTCAGGATGCCAGAAAAGAACTAGATCTAAGTAAACCTCTTAATGGTTCCATAATAATAACAACAAAAATACTTCAAGTCTAACCCATCTACTGTAATACCATTTGTCTTTTGTCTTTTGTCTTCTTCCAGAACTTATAAGGGGAAAGAAGCAGTCATCCCTTTTCTCTCTGGCATCTAGTCTATCCTATCACACTTCTCCCTTCAGTCAGTCTGCCATATTAAGAAGCAAAGCATTTAAAAGCCATGAGGATACAAAGAAAAGGGAAAAAAATGTAGTTCCTACCTTCAAGGAGCTCATACTCTAATGGGAGAAACAATGTGTAAATGTGTAGATGTATATATGTAAATATATGTATATAAGGTATGTGTGTAAATATATATATACATATATATGATAAATACAGTGTAAATGGAAGGTAATCTCAGAATGAAAACTGGGAATTGAACTGAGTCTTGAAGGAAGTCAGGAAAGCAAGGAGGGAGGGGTGAGAGCAGGTGGTCTCTAAAATCACTTTCAATTCTAAAATCCTATGATTTATTGCCTTCTAAATGCCAAATCCAGTGATTTTATTTTCAGATTTTATTCTCTTTGATTGTTGCTTCTGACATCACTGACCATATCCTCCTCCTGAATACTTTCTTCTTTCTTGGCTTCATTAACTTCATACTCTCCTGGTTCTCCTATTTTTTTTTAACAGTTTTTTGTTGGTTCTTCATCCTTTTCCTGACCCTTTAATGTAGGTGTTCCCTATGAGTCTGTCCTTGACCACCTTCTCTACACTGTTTAAGCTAAGAATAATTAGAATGCTGGACCTGAAGACAGGAAGACTCATATCTGGCCTTGGACATTTTCTAGCTATGTGACCCTGGGAAAGTCCTTTAACTTCTGTCTGCCTCACTTTTCTCATTGGTAAAATACAGATTATAACAACACCTAATCCCCATGATTGAAGATGAAATATTTGTAAGGCACTTTGCAAACATACCTGAAACCCTTGTGTAAACGCTAGTTATTACCAGTACCTGCCACTATCACTTTCCACTTCTACCTCTATGTGGATGACTCTCAAGTCTACAGAGCTCAGGTTCTGGCTTTTCTTCTGAACTCCAGAATAGTATCTGCAGCTGCCTCCTGGACTATTCTCCCTAAATGTCTCATCTACACTTCAAATTCTGCCTGCCACAAATTGAGCTCATTATTTTCTAAACTCCCCCTATTCTAGGAAAACTCTTTCTTCCCTCCTCGCAGATCACCTGGAGGCCCAATACATGAGACCACGTCTGGTGGAACTTGTGCTCTGAAATCTGCTTTCGTAATTGGTGACTGTGTCTCCTGGACTACAAGATTCCAGGAAAGCCCCAGTCATGATTCACTTTACTCCCTCCTCCCAATTCCTGTTCTGTAAGGAAGAGCCATGATTAAATCTGCTCTGCCATTGTTCTGTTTGGTGCATGTCAATCTGCTCCCCAGAGTCCTCAATCACCATCCTCTTAACTTTCTGGTCCAGAGTGTCCAAGCCTGGCTACCACCCTCTTATGTATGTAGTTACTTCTATTGGAATGTAAGTTCCTTGAGGACTGTCATTGCTTTTGTATTTGTACCCTTAGTGCTTACTGAAGTGCCTGGCACTTTAACAAAAGCCTTAACAAATGTTTTTTTTGTTTTTCATTCAATTCATTCATTCCTTTATTTCTCCGTGGTACCACCATTCATTCAGTTTCCCATTTTCAAAACCTCTCAAAACAAGAGAGGACTCTTCTCTCCTTTTTACTTCTCAGATCCAATTAGTGAGATAGGCAGCATGGTAGAGTCGATAAAGAGCCCACCTTGCAGTCAGGAAAACTTAATTCAAGCCTAGCCTTTGACACAAACTGGCTGTGTGGTCCTGCAGTTATTTAACCTCTCAGTGCCCCAGGCAGCTCTCTGAGACTATATATTAGTTGCAGAACACTTCCCAGATCTACATTAGTAAAGGCATATTCCTAACTGGCTAAGTTCCCTATCCCAATGAAATCCCAAGTCTTGACTCCCTCATTCCCTCCAAATCTAATTATTATCAATTCTTGTTGATTCCATCTGCACATTTCTTAGACTTATTCCCTTTTCTCTATTTCTTTTGTCATTATTCCAGTACTGGCCCTCATTGCCACCCTCTAGGACTATTTACTGAAGTAGCTTCTACACTCTCCTCCTTCCATACCATTTCCAGAATAGCAATGCTTATACAGAAATTTGGTTGTCACCTCTCTACCCAAATATGTTCAGTGGCTACATATTGCCTCCCAAGTTCAAACTACTCCACAACTTGGTGTCACCATATCTTTCTAGCCTGATGTCATATTAGTTTCATCCATGTACTCTATGTTCCTGCCATCCTGGATGACTCTGTTTTGTAAACACACACTATGCTCTCTCCTTGTTCTTTAGCCTGGCATGCCCTGCCTTCTCTTTATTTAATTCTCACCTATCCCCCAAAACCTAATTCTAGTGTCACCTCTTCCAAGACCTTCCTTGATCAACCTCTCTGATTCCCCAGCAGACTTTACATGACATTTTGTAGTTCTCTAATTCGCTTATGTAATTAACATTACAGTTATCTGTTTGGAGTCTTAACTCCCTAGAAGACCTAATTTTGTCTTCCCCTGTGCCTAATAAATATTTCTTGAATAAGACAGATACGGTGCTAGATTTGAATTCAGGAAGAACTAGGTCCTACTTTCACATCAAATAATTACTAGCTGGGCAAGCCACAACTTTGTGTGGCTTAGTTTCTCTATCCACTGTATAGTGGGAATAACAATACTTACCTCACAAGATTCTTGTGAGGCCAAAATGAGATAATGTATATTTTGCAAAAGGACTTTGCAAACCTTATTGAGTGAACAAATTACACTACGTGTGAAGGGTGTGGGTTTGGAAATACACACATTGGCTTAGGGTTGTCTTGGGGAGGATAGGCTGGGTCCTCAAAATCTCACTTCCAAGACCTCGTGGATGCCCTCATACATTTCTGCTGCTTGGTCATATATTTAAGAAGGTATGTGCTTGATACAGGGCAAACCCTTTTGTTTGTGGACATGTTTTGTGCTTCACATCTGTCCTCTGAGTCTGATTGAAGTGTTTGAATGATGGGGGTGGGGGGGATTCAGGGGGACTTTTTTTTTTCAGTTAGAAGCAGCACTTGCTTGTGTCGCGGGGAGGCATGTATTGAAAGGGAGTGGGACCCCTTGGGGTGAGAGGCTTCTTCCTGTTCCATTTCTCGATTCCTTCGTGACACTAGGCGGGGTGGCGGTGAGTATCCCCGGGAGAGCCCATGGGTTTATGCCAGGAAAAGAGGCTGCTAATTCTAGACACTGTATGTGAGGATCTATGGCGGTAGGAGCAAAGGAGACTGGCGAAGGAGAGATGAAAACATCAGGGAACTGGCCCCCAACACCGCATCCTGGGATCTTCCCATCCCCACGTCTCAGTGAGGCGGGGCTAGTAGATTGTCCTAGGCAACGCACATGGTAACAGCCTAGGAAGTCTTGGGTAATTGAAACGTGCAGGACTTAGCAGGTAGGAAGAACTTTCCCAGAAACCCCCGCAGCAAAGGCTGAGTTGCCATGCCATCCGATGTGTTCTTCCTTCTGATTGGCCGAAGAAACGACTGCGCTGGCTTCTTCCGCCAACCCAATCTAAGAATGCAACAAGGCGGGGCCTGAAGACGACATAATTTTCCCGCCCCCTCCCACCTCTGGTTCTAGGTTCCCTTCTGTGACGCAAAGGTGCATTCCCAACCAATCGTAATGTGGTGACTAAGGAGGGCGGGACTACTCCCTCCCTTTCCTGCTCCTTCACTCGCTATTCCACCCTCTTCTTTCCCCCTCCCCAGCCCGTTTCCTTCCCCCACCCCCATCCCCATTTCTTCCCCATCTCTTTCCTATCTCCCTTCGTCCTCATTTTTCTCGCCCTTATCCCGCCCCCACCCTCAAAGTTCTATCCACGATCGGTTTCAAACGACACCTTGGCCAATGAGCATCGGGGCCACCGTCGAGTGGCGGCCAAGACGGCCAATGCAAGCGCAGCGAGAAAGAAGCGTTCGCGGCGCGCTTATGACGACAACCGGCGTGTGACGCAGTCGGACCCCGCGCGCAGAGCGGCCCGGGCGGCGGCGGCGGCGGCGGCGGCGGCGGCGGCGGCGGTTTCGTGGCGGCCGCGCGCGTTCCGAGCGGCGGCGGGAGGAGGACGATTTTTAAGTCCCTTCATACGGGGGACGCAGCCCTTCGGTAAGGGAGCGGCGACGGTGGCCGGCCAGGTGCGTGGCTCCGAGACGAGAATGGGAGTGGGGCCGAGCCGAGCTCAGGGCCGCCCCTTCCTTGAGAGACGAGGCCGCGCGCTCCCCTCGGTCCGTACTACGGGGGCGGGGCCCACGACCCTCTGACCTCGGGACCCAGTATCTCGGCGTGGGGGAGGAGCTGGGGCAGCCTCGCTGTAGAGGGTTTGGGTGGGTGGCCCGGCGCCCAGGAGTATCCTAGTTTGGGGACCTGGACGTAGGGTTTCCCAAGGTTCAGGAGTCCAGGGTCTAAGGTGTGGAATCTAAGGGCCAGAAAGAGAGAAAGAGCTCTTACTGGGTTTGTTGGGAGTGAGATTGAGTATCTTTGATAGCACGGATCTCTTGGGTTAGGGGAATAATCTTCGGCACCAGGAGTTTCCTGGGTAAAGATCTTAGATTGGGATTGGGGATTAGGGACCTCAGGGAATAGAGGGCAGTGAGGGGAAAGTAGGCTGGAGTAAGGCTTCATCTGGATTTTTGTCCTTTTATTTTACAAATATTGACTGGTACCTGCTGTGTCTGGTTTCATGCCCACTCCTGAAAGGGGATTTTAAAGAGTTTAAGAGCTTGGACCCTAAATTCTGTAGTGGACAGTCTGGTGGTGCTTTTAATTTCTTTTCGAGGAAAATAAGGTTGAGATATTGCCTCATGTGGGAAGTTAACATCCGAAATTTATAAGAGGTTCTCTGCTTTCTCAGACATACTTGATTTTTTTTAACATTAAAAGGACCAGAATGTAAGAGTACTTAGAAGTACCAAGCTGTATTTTATCTCTTATATCTCTATAAGTACAGTTAACTCAGTACATTTTTTTTTCTAACTGGAAAGCAAAGAAAATTGAGATGGTAGGATGAAAATGTTAATTCCAAAGTAAAATTGTAATGTGGTTGGGGGGGAATCAGTTGACTGAGATGGTCCTTCTGGTGTTAATGGCTCTGGAGTGCTTATTAGGTACCTTTCCCGTTATCCTGGTTTCCTGTTTTCTACCTTTGATTTAAAGGCAAGATTGCCTGTCACTGCAAATACAGTTAAGAGCTCGGGGATTGTTAAAAGTGAAGGGGAAATTATCAAGTCCAAACTCTACATTTTGCCACTTGGGGAGATGAGGGCCCAGATTAGTGGCCTTCACAAAGTGAGTCAGTGTCAGAGCCAAGTCTAGAACTGAGATGTTATGCTTCCAAGTCTGGAACACTTTACTGCTACGCTGTGTTTATCCTGATAGGACTCTCCCAATCAGCTCTTATTGAGGTTTTGCTTTTGTTGTTAGAGCAGTATGTGGCCACTTTTAGTGGACAGAAATAAGCATTCTTCAGGTGTTGAAGATCCCAGGGAGACATTTCAATTTAGCATGAATGAATGAATAAGTGTCTATTAAGTGCTTATTATGTGCCAAGCCTTGTAGTTTATGTCTAGTATGGCAGTGTTTTCCCCAGGTCTAGTTGTAATCCACATTTAGTTTTAAAACCAGGTACTAGAACTACATTTCAGTTAGATGACCATTTAATGAAGAACAGTGAGATACATGGGGGTGGGGGAAAGGTCAATAAAACTGCAGATAATCTCCTTAATTTGCTTGATGTAGTGGGAAAAGTTCTAGGTTGGTATTCTGGGAATCAGGCTTATCTTTTGTGTGATTTTTGGATAATTCACTTCCCCTCTTCAGGTCTCCTTTTCTGGCTCAATAAAACAGGGAAGTTGTACTATATTATCTTTAAGCTCCTTTTCCCATATTGACATTCTGTTATTCGAGGTTTGATATGTGGAACACTGTGGCTAATTGGGCAAAATAGAAGCATGTTTTTAGAGACAGTTGCTAAGTGATTAAATGCCAGCTGGGAATAGAAAACAGGAAATAAATGTGAAATTTAGAAAACAAATGTGATAATTTTGTATTTAATCCATTCTGGGAGACAGATTAAGGAATATTGGCTCTTCTTTGCTACAGGATTCATAGTACTATACTGTACATGATTTGGACATGAAGGGTGATACCATAAGCAAATTAGGAGAACAGGGAATAATTCACCATCAGATGTATGGAGAAGGGAAGAATTTATGACCAATAAAAGAGCATTATGAGATGTAAAATGGATAATTTTGATTATATTAAATTAAAAAGTTTTTACACAAACAAAACCAATGCATAGTACTATAATATAGTAGAGTTTCCTGACTACCTGTGAAAGTTTGAGTTTTCTTTGGAGGAAGAAGCTAACTTTAGGAGAGAAAGAAGGAGCAGTAGACTTGCAGTGTGGGTAGTCTGTCATTGAATCTCAAGGGAATTTTCATGGGACTACTGAATAACTTTGCTCATATTGGTTGTTTAATCTGATTGTTTACATATTTATTGGTGTGTCTTTGTGGGTATGTGAGGGCTTATTTATTGAATTAAGATACTAGGTTTTTCAAAGCCAACAAATCCTGAAAAGAGGACAATATGGTGCTTCTCTTAATTTAATTTCTTAAATTTTAATTTAACAGAACCTAAGCAGTTGGATAATTAATTCCTTTGGGCTTTTCATTTGAGAGTGTATAAAATTGAATTAAAGTTTATTCTGGCCTTGAATGAGTCACTTTGTCACTTTGCTTATGTTTATATGACAAAGCAGAAGTGGAAACTGTATTTGGGGAGTAGAAGAGAACTGGTAAAAGCTAAATGTCAGTTAAAAAGTGGACATTCTATCTGCGCTGTGGAATGTAAATAAACTGTACCTTTGTATATGGCAGAGTTAATGCTAACACTACTGACTGCCAAAATGATTGTGGAATACACACACACACACACACACACACAGAGTAAAATAGTTTTTAATTGTGGCTATCAACTCCTCATGGGATGACATTGTACCAAGTGATCTCTTAGAGAGAACCTGGCACACCATTAGAACACCCAACTCCTAGGGTAGTTAAGTGGGGTTTTGTGAGGAGCCACTTCTGTTGACATCTTGAAGGGGCTAGTATAGAATGCAAAGGGGATCCATTTTATTTTCTTTAAAATTTAAAATTTAAATCTAAAGGGACAAGAGAATAAATAATATTTTCTATAATAAATAAAAGAATATATGTACTAGCAGTTGCTCCATGTATCTGACTACATTGACCTTTTTGCCACTGCTTGCCTGTGACACTCCATTTCCCCAGAATGCCTTTTCTGATCTCTCTCTCTGCTAAAGCCAATCTTCTGAGATTGCCTTCTATCTACTCTTCTAGGAAGGGGAATTAGCATTTCTACAGCACCAACTATGTGCCAGGCACTGTGCTGGATGTTGATTTAATCTTCACAACAATTCTGGGAGGTAGGTGCTGTCATTATCCCCATTTTACAGTTGAGGAAATGGGCAGAGAGAGGTTGTGACTTACCCAGGGTTATATAGCTAATAAGGATCCGAGGCTGAATTTTTTTTTTTGTTTTGTTTTTGGCAATTGGGGTTAAGTGACCTGCCCAGGGTCACACAGCTAGTAAGTATCAGGTGTCTGGTCTGAGGCCGGATTTGAACTCAGGGCCTCCTGACTCCAGAGTGGGTGCTCTAGCTACTGCATCACCTAGCTGCCCCTTGAGGCTGAATTTGAACTCAGGTCTTGTTCCCATGTCCAGCAGTCTATCTGCTGTGCTGCCAACTCACTCTAGTGTAGAGTTGTATGGACACAGTTGTTTGTATGTTGTCTCCCCCTTTAGATTGTGATTTCCCTGAGGTTAGAGCCTGTGTTTTTGTCTCTTTGCTTCTCTAGAGCTTAGCACAGTGCCTGGCACATAGTAATTGCTTAATGTTTGTTGATTATCACTAGTCATGCCTTACCACACCACAGCACTGGATTACTGGGATCACCTGCCTCCTTCACTTTTTTCCCCCAAGGCAATTGGGGGTAAGTGACTTGCCCAGGGTTACACAGCTAGTAAGTGTCAAGTGTCTGGTCTGAGGTCTGATTGGAACTCAGGTCCTCCTGACACCAGGGCCTGTGCTCTGTCCACTGTGCTACCTAGCTGACCCTCTGCCTCCTTCACTTCTAACCATGTGCTGCTGAATGGAACTGGAGAAAGTCATAAAATTATGCTAACTGGGTCTACTATATATCTGTTATCCAATCTCAACTGGGCCTTCACTGCAGCAAGACCACCCTCTGTTCCTTCCTAATTGATCCTCTATTCTACTGAACATTAATAATTTAAAAATAATACATATGTCTGTGTGTGTGTGTGTATGTATATATATATATATATATATATATTTTTTTTTTTTTTTGGAAAAATTATCTCAATTCCCTTCCTCCCAGTTGAGAACAAAAGAAAACAAAAACTGCTGTTACAAACATGCAAAAAAATTTTTGCATTGACCATGTCCAAAAAATTTGTCTGTTTCATTCTGAGTCCTGTACCTCTCAGGAGATAAGACAACATTTTTCATCATTAGTCTTGAGATTTATGGTTGGTTATTATATGGATCCTCTGTCCTAATTCTTTCAAAATTGATCATCTTTACCATGTTGTTGTCACTGTAGTAATTGTTCTTTTGGTTTTGTTCACTTCACTCTGCATCAGTTCATATAAATCTTCCCAGATTTCTCTGAAACCATCCTTTTCATAATTTATTTCAGCACAGTTGTATTTATTCCATCACATAATTTATTCAGCCATTCACCAATTTATGAGCACCCTCTTAGATTCCCATTTTTTCTTATCTCAAAAAGGTATAAATTTTTTTGTGCATCTCTAGTTGAATTTATTTTGCTTAGGAACAATCCCTCCCTTAATCTACTGATCTTCCTTCTCTTTCTTTCCTACTTATGTACCAAATGTAGTTCTGTCCTCAAGTGTGTGGATAGTCTTCCTTCCTGAGGCAGCTAGGTGGTGCAGGGCATAGAACACTAAGCATGGAGTCAGGAAGACTTAAGTTCAAATTGTGGCCTTGGGCACATCTCTCAGCCTCAGTTTCTGTAACTATAAAATGGGGATAA